CTTTTAAAAGGGAAAACGGCGAATATGCACAGGTGGTGCTCTTAATGGCTACAGCTGAAGGCAAATCCTGTCAGAACCCCAAGGACAGGCCAGTGCAGACGCCTGGATAGTAACAAAGGTGACTCAGTATGAGGAGTTGGGGAAGAAACTCTTCTTATTCCAAGAGTAGACAGAACCACTGGAGCTCGGGGATAAGTATATATAGCTACATGTTATCCAATGTGTAGAGTGTCTTAAGCCACATAGAACAGCTAATTAAAATTGTCACAGTAGCACAACTGGGAAACAGCATTTTGCCATGCTGAAGGCAGAATCAATGTGGTAGAACACATATTTAGCATTCATGTGATACCAAGCCTTAATCACTGGAGTTGCACACACTTTGTAAATTCTCCAAATCAACATGAAACCATAAAGACCTATCTATGCTCTTTGGAATCTAATATTCATAAAGAAAAGGCATAGCATATATATTTAGTGTGCCAGGGATAATATATTTTGCCATTCTTGGTCTAATAAAAAAATAAGTTACTTGAAGCATTTCTTAGCTATGAGGCAGAATGATCACACATAATCAAGTAATTTATATACTTTTTCTTCCATGAGCCTTGGATGTATCCCAATCATTGAACTCTACTTGCTATGTGAAAGGCCATGGATGTAATCCCAGCATCACAAAACAAAGCAAAACAAATTATTCTGAATATTTTTGTTCCTGAAACTGGATTGTATATCTTTTCATCCCTCTCTGGTACACAAAGGACACATAAACCAGAATCAAGGAAGGGGACTCCCGTCATTTGACAGTGGAGGGGTCTGTTCCCTCTCCCTTCAGCCTTTTCAAAGGGTACTGCCAATCAAGCATGGTAGGGTGAGCAAAGGATTTCATCAGTGCAAAATGACAGAGGTGTCACACTGCTACAACTAGAGATGGGAGTATTTGTCTATGACAACATGTGTGCACAAAACCCATTTAAACACACACACACACACACACACACACACACACACACACATACACACACACATGCGCATGCATGGGCGCGCGCGCTCACTGCCAAATCAAAGAAAGATTCTCTAAAGGACTTACATTCTAGAACTTTATTCAGGCTTACAGAAACAGAAGTGTCTCGACTCCTGCCTAAACCTAACACAGCAAAGCTATTTTCTTCACAAGGATGTAATACGAGTTTCCAAATGTCTTACTCTATAACTTAATTGCTCCTATAAGAAGCAAGGGGGGAAAAAACCTGTGAACTATAAATTGCGGAGGAAAATCTAACATAATGGTGAAATAGTGTCCAAAAACTGATACCCTTTTTGCATTAAAATATTCAGGGCTAATTATGATTTTAGCACTTGTTTTTTATCCTTGCTTTGTTCACTGGCCAAACTTAAACACTTCTCATCTCCTTCAATGAAAGTGGTGCTATTATGTTTCTGGAAGCATGGGCAGGGTTCCTCAAAGCCTAATTTTAAGGTCTTAATTGGCTGAGGCAATGGGAGACTATACAAAGCCCACTTCACAGAGAAGGGCAGGATTGCCAGGTCACTGGAGAACAGATGAGGAGCTAACTGGAAGCTATTGCTGAAATCTTGCCGTGTTCTGGGAAGTTTCACCAAATAGTAACTTACAGAAACTGGAAGCAAACCATCCATCATCACAGGACTGAAGCCAGAGAGGTGGAGCTTGTAGAAACAGAAGGATTAAAACACAGAAACGGAGATTTTCACTTAACCACACATCATCAAGCCAGGGAGGCTGAACGAAGACAGGATACCACTATTGGTTAGGTAATATACTTTGATTATAGAGACTGTGAGATTATAAATCCTCCTACTCTCTAAGGTCTCAAGAAGGCTGCTACTTACACTTCTAGTGATCTGGTACCATGAGACCCACTGTCTACTTTAACGTGCAAAAATTTGAAGGGTAATTCATCATCAATCCATTCATTTCCAACCCAACATCTGTGGTACTACAAGATAATTAACACATTAAATTATCTTGATCCACAAGTAGCTTAATGCTTAATAATATAACCACAATTAATCATGAATAACATGCATTATAATAAAACGAACTTAGGTAAATTGATTTCTTTGTCATCAACTCTAATTACTGGTAACAAATTTCCCAAACAGACAAAACAGACCAATTTTTATCTGTGTAATTTAGTCTCTATCGAAAAGAAAAAGACCTAAAAGAAGCTTTGAAAATCTTTCAAATCATGCTATGTTCACATTAACAATAAAGACATGTACTATAAGAATAAAATTAAATGGCTGTTTACACCTTCCAGTGATCACTTAGTCAACAGAGAGCTCAGATACTTGCTGACATTTCAGTAAAAAAAACATAAATTTGTTTCATTTTACTACTATAAGAAAAATACAATGTGAAACTAGGTACTCACGTGGTTATCTTTATTTTAGGATAGGTTCCCACACAATTCGCCAATTGATCTTTCCTAATTTTATACTCTAGCCCCTCCCTTGTGCTACCAGCCTTATTAATCTTTCTTTCATTTATTCTCTAAATAAATTCTACCTGTATTAGAGGCAAATGTGGTTGCCCTGTCTATCTGTCTGTTTCCTCTCTGGGTCACCAGAGTCCAGTTTGTAAGTCTGGGTTTACTCTAGTTCATTCTTATCTTCCTCAAGCATTTTTTTCTCATGAATACCTTTTTTATTTAGAAACAATCTGATTTTCCATACCAATCCCCTCTTTTCTCATCCATTTTATTATAGAAAATGTATTTTTTTATCATCTACTCTTCCATAATCCAGGTTCCCTCAATTTCAAGCTACCTCTAACAGGAATGAATGATCAACAAAAAACAAAATTTTGTTTTCCTTTATCTTTGCACTAAGCAACAATGATTAATATTTCTGTGTCATTATTGCATATTTTTCTATGAGTAAGACAGTTTTGAAAAACTGGTATGATTTGGCAGGACATAGAAATGGGTGGGTATGGCTGGACTATAGGGGATGCTGTAGCCACGCCTCGAGGGTGTGGTCAGGGTGACATAGGGAAAGTTTAAGAGTGAGGGACGCTTACATGGTAGGCCTGCTTTCGCTTTCATCTTTGGCTTGCTGTACTGCTGCCCCACCGGCTGGCTAGGTCTCTCTGTAAGTAAGGCTATTAAATTCCCTTGTATTTTTACCTGGCTCCGAATTGGTAATTTCCCACATTACTGGACAGCCAATTAATAACAGACAAACAAAACTCAAACGGAATGTCACTGCCAATCTATGTGATAAAGAAAATGCCAAGGAATTTCAAAATGGAAAGCAAATTGGGTCAATGACCAGCTATCATCTCTTTCCAAATCTAAAATATAAAACACAATTATGTTTCCTTTTTAAATTATGATGTTTCTTTCACTAAATGTTAATGTTATACCATCTCTGATAATGCTGTTTCAGTCATTTAACTGTCATTTGTGGGCTCAAACTACTCGGCATGCCTGCTGTGCGCTGTGTCCTAGTACGGGAAGTACAGCGCTATGTAAACATTTACAAACCACTCCTTCCTGAAACGTCCATGTTTCCATGTATCCATGTGACAGTGGGCACATGACCCACCCAACACATTTCTTATCTGTGTATACTGGACATGCACTGAGCCAAAATAAAAGGTGACACACTGTCTAGATGCTTGCCCCAACTGCAGCCACTGTTGCTAAGACAAAACTCTTGGTCGTTAAGCTGAACATAAAGGGAAGTAGATGGTATTTATTCCCTCTACTGCCTGCCACTTGGATTCCTGGTTAACAGACACTGATGAAAAACAAACTGAGAAATTAATCTCTGTTACAAAGGTCTTACTTTCTCAAAAGCTACAGGATAATGTCCCTTCTTCACATCTTAGTGGTAGTTTTCCTTTTCAAGCTATGTGTACAAATATTTTCTTCTTTGGATTTTGCATGCCAAATTATTCCTAATACAAAGAAACGACAGGATCAAATGTGATTTACTGACAACATAGCTGATTTGTCATCTATAGCCAGATGTGGAATTATACTATCATTATTGTACTGCCGTTAAAAAAAAAAGAAAAGCATCCTTTGGCATCTCCAGTAGCCACAGATAACAATACTCAACTGGCTTGGAGCAACAGTCCTCTGAACTTGGCCTAGATGGGCAAGCCCCCACAATAACACTTTTAAGATGATTTTCCATTTAACACTGAACCTTCCCGTACATATAAAAATGGAAAATGAAGTTACTTTTAAAGTGAATACTCTGAACAAGGATTATCATTTATTAAGTTTCAGGTTTTCTTAAGAGGACACTACAATAATCGTCCTGTGATTCTAAATAAAGTTCATCAATAAGGCAATACAGCAATGGCTTAAGGACAAGAGGACTGGACTTCATGGGATTTTTGGCATCATTTTTCTTTTTCCTGTCATGATGCACACTGCTGTACATGTACTATTCTAAATCATCTGTGTAATGTTTGACTCTGCTATCATTCTTCCAATCTCTGCCCTTCTTAGCCCATTATGTTTTCCATGGGTGAGCTGATACCTCCTGATATGTGTGCATCTATTTATCATATTCATCTTCTGCCACTATTGCCAGTTCAACATAACCTGAAGAAAGGGCCTTTACCTTTGGTTTATTCATTGGTATGTTCTCAAACACTAGGGAGAGATCCCTTCTTACAAAACAAGCATTTCTTGAATGAATGGATATTTTACTTCAATCTTTTGATCAGGGGAGAAGAGAGAGCCTTCTCCCCAGTCGATTCTTACACACATCGCATACATAGATATATATATTGAAAGCACACAAGAGGACACTGTGGCCGAAGGAAATTATTCAAGACTTGACAGTCTCAGCAATGAAGAAAGATGAGAAGACAAGAGGCCAGGAAAGAACACAATGTGGAAAAAAGTCCTAAGAGTAGAAGTGCCAGTTAGGCTTTTTCTAGCCACGAGGTTCCATGAAGGTAGAGGAGGAGGAGGAGAGGGAGCACATAGACCTACCTCTCTTCTCCTGGTGGAACTCCTCCAGAAGCTGCTCCTGTCGTTCAATGTGCTCAAACAGACACAGGAGCTCAGACTCCTTGTGCTCCGTCAGGTCCCTGAGCTCCTGTCTGCAGAGCACCAGCTGCTGCCGCACGGTCTTCTCTCTGCTTTCTCTCTCTTTCAGCTCCTCACAGAGCCACTGAAGCTTGGTCTAAAAATTAAACAAAAAAAAGACATTTATAGCTACTTATTCAAAAGCAAAATACAAGTCCACAAGACAACAGCCTATCGATGAGTCTAAAAAAGTAACATTGCAATAATCCCAACAAATAAAGACAAATTAAAGCACAACTGGAGCCTTGAATTTGCTTAAAGGTTTAGAACACTTTAATTTTATTTCAGGAATGAAGCTATGAAAGTCAAAGATTTTTATAAACTGACCAATGCACTAGGTTATCTTTAGAAAGACAACAGTACAATAGAGTTTGGCCAACCATGACACAGGTGTTAGTTAGTCCCTTAATTTGTTAGGTAAGCCAGTTTAGTAAAGCCATTTAAACGTTTCAAAAACACCTCAGAATAGAACAACTTGAATTCAGAGATGGGGGGATGTGAATGGATACATTATTCATCGTTACAGTGGCTAGAAATACACAATGCCATATCTCCTGCAAATCTCGAGATGGAAAGATTGCAGGCCAGAAGAATAACATCAGTAGCTGCACATAATTAAGTTAGCCCACGCAACTCTTTTGCAAAGACTCCAATATCCAGATGTTTCGCACAGAATGTGAAAGAAAATACATTTTTTCTACCTTCAATATAAAAACACTCTGTAAGGGCTGAGAATTCCCATGATAGGCCATCCAAGCCTGGTTGACGTCCAATACAGCCTTTACTATAGGCAGAAGCAAGCCATGGGAAGTGTCTGATGGTAAGGGAAAACCAAGTTCAGAGAGAGAAGAGACTACTTACTACTAGAGTGTATTTACAGACACTGAAACCCTGAAAGTCTGCTGGTAAAAGTGGACATGATCCAATGCCTGGGAAAACTCACAGTTGCAGAAAGGATTAGACAGAGTTATCATGTAACCCAGGCATTCTACCAAGTAGAATAGATAAATGAAATCCATGATAGTCATACAGGCATAGTCAAAGCAGCACATTTACAACAGTCCTGAGAAACCAAAAGGCCCACCAAATAACAATGGATGAATAAAATCAGACCCATCCAAGCAATCAAATATGATATATCAGCATAATCAAGGCAAATGCAACATGACACAAAATGGGTAAACCTTGCAAACAACTTTCTCCTACATAAAAAAGGCCATCACAGAAGAACATGTTTGTATGATTCCATTTATTCCCCATTGAGAATAGACAAATCAATAGAAATGTGGTGGTTAGTGGTTAGTGGTTGAGCAGTGCTGGGAGCTGACAAAAGGTAGGCTGGCAGTAACAGTGAAAAGTTCTGATTTTCTTTCTAGGTTAAAAGGTGTTCTATACTTGGGTTTGGGGCTATAAAACTCTATAAAGGTACTAAATGGACTAAGCATACCTCAACTGAGTGTGTGTGTGTGTGTGTGTGTGTGTGTGTGTGTGTGTGTGTTCAGGCAAGCATGAGCATGTAGGAGGAAGGGTACCACATACAGAATTATGATGTGTACATGAAGGTTAGAAGCCAATGTCAGCTGTCTTCCCCTTCTGCTCTCTACTTTTTGAAAAAGGTCCCTTAATGAACCAGGAGCTCATTGATTAAGTGATATTAGCTGGCCAGCAAGCTTAGAGGATCCTTCTGTTTCTACCTGCCCTATGCTAGAATCACAGGTGTATACAACCAGGCCCAGCTCTTTACATGGGTGCTTGGGATCCAAACTCACACTTAACTGTAAACTCTTTAATGACTGAACAATCTATTAAATAACAACAAAAATCAAAGGGGATAGAATGTTACAGTGGCTAGAAAAACAAGCCTGATTAAGCCTCCCTGAATAAAGAAGACCAGGTTCCAAGTAGATAACATGCAGTCTGTGGGCCTGTTTTGTCTGGCCAACAGTGAATAAACATAGATGTCCCTCAATTTCAACTGGACTGTGGAATCAAACTATGGCTAAAGAAAATAATAAAGAGTGCCTTACTTTCTAACATTCCATTTAAGATAGTCATGCAAACACAAAAACATGAAAAGTTTGACAAGACAGGAAATATGGTTGACTCCTTGCCCAATAAAAGGAACCATTTCCGCTGCAGCACTGAGGAAGGACACAGGGTTGAGCTAACATCATTATCCTCATTTGGCAGAAGAGGAATTTCTGTTTAGAAAAAAAAAATAATCTCTATTCAGAAAGGAATAGGAAGCTGGAAATTAAGGCGTGGTAACACAGATGCAAACAAATGGAAAGTACTGGATGACCCAAAAACCTGCACATTTCAGATCTGACAGTTCCTCCAAACTCACAGTCAGGTAGAATGAAGAATCAATACTGGTGGCTGAGTTTCTAACCTACTCAAGTGTGAAACAAGACACCAGAAGCAACAAGGCCTTGGGAATGTCAGACTGGAAAGCGAAGAACTTTAGTCAATGAGACTCTGGAGCAAAGATGACTAGGTGCATGAAAGGGTAGAGCGCTCAAGAGAATTGGATGAGGACAGAAATGATGGCTCAGCCATGGAGGCAGCTAAAGTTCTCCAAACACGTAAAACTATGCAGTGAGACTGAGAGACAATGAATAGTTCAAGATGCTATGAACAAACAACTCAAAATGAGGCAGGAAAGTGGTCCTTCAAAGATGGGAGGCAGAGCCAAGAAGACTTAGGACTGGAGCCCCAAAACCAAAATGGACATTATAACATGGACATTCTTAATGTCGAGGACTGTTGAGAAGAAAGAGTAAGGACACTATGTAATTTAAAAGAAGAATCCTTGTCCGAACTCTAACTGTAAGCTTACTCCATCAAGCCAAATAGGGCTAGAAAAAAATGAACGCCACACTATGATGGTGATTGTTTCCACTAACACAAGATAGGAAGAAAGGCTCAAACTTTATTCTACTCATTTCTGCAGTGTCGGGATATTTTAAATTGAGAATGCACTTAATGTACTATGTAATAAAAGTTATTCTATATAACTATTAATCCTAGATATACATCAGTTGGAAATGACTCAAATACTAAGTCACTAATTTACCAATGGCTGGACTACAAGAATGACTTCATTGTACCTCACTGCAGTGTTCTTTATTAAAACCACAATCTGAATCCACTCTGTTGTTTAACTTCACAAAATCTTGCTACTGCCTCAAGCCAAGCACCTGAAAAGCTTCCCTGAGCATCAGGGCATTACTGGCATGATGCAGTGGGAGAAAAGATTAGATAGATCTAGTTTCTGGAAAAGGTGGCCTGGGCAGCAAAGTCTTTCTGCTGTCTATTTGGCAGCTTAAGCACATACATTTTTGTCCTTGTAAGGGATTTAGATCTTCAAGGCTTCCACCAAGAATATTGTATCTTTACCTAAAACTTTCTGTAGAAAGGGCCATTGTCAACACATTAGCATTTGTATGATGTCATACACGCTGAAGGATTTCACAAACGCAATTAAGGGAAAAGGAGATGTTTAAGTTCTAAAATGATACTTCTCATGCATATGTCTATGTACATACATATATGTTTTAAAGGAGTTATAGCACAAAGGTGATGTTGCACCATACAAAAGCCAGGCAAATCCCCCAGTATCAAGCAAGGAAACCTCCTTCAAGTTGTTGGCAGGAGGAATACGATAATCTTCCGAAATAACATGGGCTATTACCATCACCTTAGTTGTTTTCTTGAACTTCAAGAGCCTATGCTGAAAATACAATATACTTTGAACATAGACTTGGAGGAATCCAGCTGGAACTGACCTAGACAACCCATCTCTGAGAACAGGTTCTCATTGTATTGTAAGGTTTTATGCAAGCTGTCAAAGGAAAAGAATGATTGGTAGTCCTACCCAGCGAAAAAACTTAGGAACCACAATGACTGGACTGGCAAGCTAGCTTCAATGACACAAAAGTGACACTTTTATCTTGGGAATGGGAAACCAGCAGCTGTCTCATGTACTTAAGAATTGCTCAATAGGAGGAAATTTGTGACTGGTACCGGAAACCCAGCCAATTATTCATGGATTGAAAGGTCAGGGACCTGAAGGAAAACCTACTGCTACCATTATTCTACACCAGTATAACTTTTAACTCTATTCCAAATACTAACCTTTATAACTATAGATGAGTGTAGCTATCATCCCTCATCCAAGAAGCTCTTTGTGTACAATGATGGAGATTATTACAGAGATCCACCACTGGTCACACTGAATAGAATACAGGACTGTGGGGTATCCAACCTCAACTTATATACCTGCAATGTAACCCCTACAGAGGCCAGAACACCAGTTACCAGATGCCCCCTAGGCATGACAACCTCAACAATAGGGTTGCCTGAACAAGAGCAGCATACTGAAAACTCCAATTGAGATGCCAATGTGAACAGCAGAAACTCCACATGGTCCCATACCTAAATGAAGAGCTGTATGTAACCAATGGCTGATAAGACAAGAGTAGTTTCTGCCAGGGATGAGCTCCCATGAATCTCAAGTGGCTAACCCTAGGCACAGGTACATATGAGCAACATTAAATGGACTCCATAGGCTATATATACATTGATAAATGTAAATACACACATGTAATGATAACAACCAAAAGAGAGACCATGAATGTTGTAGGGAACAGAAGGAGTTTGAGAGAGGTGGGAGTGATACAGAGAGAGTGCCCATGCATAAAGCTCTCAAAAGAAAAGACACCACATCTTATATATTAGCAACAAAAGTCCCATTTTAGAAGAGAAAATTTGTATTTGTCTTTTAGCATTAACAATCCTAGCTGATATTAGTGAGCATTCAAAAGTTTGCACACTCAACACCTGAACACTACCAATTTGAACTACAAAATACAGCACAACAGAGATGGGCTAAAGTTTGTGCCTATGATAGGCTGGTTAACTAACCCTTTATACAGTGTTAGCTGCCGTGGTATGGCACTTTGAAGCTACAGACTCTTGTTTTTTTCAACCAGTTGGCACTTAAAAAATTACTCAATCGGTAGCATTATGTTTAAACAATGTGCTTAGAAATTGGGGAAGTGGTACAAAAGGCTACGTCTCATGGTTAGAGCTCAC